GCAAGTGAAGAGATGGAAAAAGATTTCACACAGATAAAAGAGAAGAAAAAAGCAGGGAGTAGAAATATTTTTATCAGACAAATAGCCATCAAAACAAAGAATGAAACTAAACAGACAAAGAAAGGCATTACATAATTATAAAGGGATTGGTACAAGAGGATATAACAATTGTAAATATATATGCATCTAACATAAGAGACCTAAACATATGAGGCAAATACTAACAGACCTAAAGTGAGAAATAGACAGTAACATAATAATAGTATGAGATTTAACTCACCACTTATATCACTGCATTGATCATCCAGACAGAAAATAAATAACAGTGATGTTGAACCACATTAGACAAGATGGACTTAAGACATATATATAGAATGTTCCACCCCAGAGCAGCAGAATACACACTTTTCTCAAATGCATGTGGAACATATGCCAAAGTAAATCACATGGTAGGAGACAAAAAGTCTCAGCAAATTTAAGCAGATTGAAGTTGTATCAAGCATCTTTTGAAACTATAATGGTATGAAACTTGCAATTTATTACATGATGAAAAACAGAAAAAACACAAACATTGAGGCCAGACAACATACTTTTAAATAATCAATGTATCAATGAACAGAGCAAAGAGGAAATCCAACATATGGAGACAAAAACAACAACAACAACAGAAACAGAATGTTGCAAAATATGTACCATGCAGCAGAAGTAGTTCTAAGAGGAAGTACATAGCAACACAGGCCTATCTCAGGACACAAGAACAATCCCAAATAAATTATCTAACCTCACAACTAAAAGAACTAGAAAAAAAAGAAGAACAAACAAAACCCAAAAGTTTATAGAAGGAGGGACATAATAAAGATCAGAGCAGAAATAAATGAAATAGAGAATAAGAAAACAATAGAAAAAAATCAATGAAATAAAGATCTGGTTCTTTGAGAAGATAAAGAAACTAGACAAACTCCATGCCAGACTTATCAAGAAAATAAGAGAGGACACAAATAAGCAAAATCAGAAACAAAAAGAAATAGTCACAAATGACAGTGAATAAATACAAAGAATTAGCAGAGAATTCTGTGAAAAACTATATGCCAATAAATTGGACAACCTAGAAGAAATGGACAAATCGCTAGAGATGTACAATCTTCTAAGACTGACCCAGGAAGAAACAGAAAATCTGAACAGACAGATTACTGGAAAACAAAAAATAAGAATCCAAAAAAGAGAATTCCAGGCCAATATCCCTGAAGAATTTAAATGCAAAACTCCTCAACAAATATCAGCAAACCAAATTCAGAAACACATCACATGATTATCTATCACAACCAAGTGGGATTTATTCTAGGCATGCAAGGATAGTACGATACTCGCAAGTCAATCAATGTGATATGACACATCAACAAAAGGAAGGCTGAAAGCCATGTGATCATCTCAATAGATGCTGAAAGAGCCTTTGACAGGATACAACATTCATTGATGATAAAAATAAAGTGGATGTAGAGGGAAAGTACCTCAACGTAATAAAGACAATATACAACAAATCCACAGCTAACATCATACTCAGTGGCAAAATAACTGAAAGCTTTCCCTCTAAGACCAGGAACAAGTCAAGGATGCCCACACTCAACACTTACTTCAACATAGTACTGGAGGACCTAGCTATGGCAATCACACAAGAAGAGATAAAAGGCATCCAAATTGGCAATGAAGAATAAAACTGTCCTTACATGCACATGACATGATACTATATATGGAAAACCCTAAAGATTCCACCAAAACACTGTTAAATACATGGATTTAGTAAAGTTGCAGGATACAAAATCAATATAAAGAAATGGATTGCATTCCTTTATACTAATAATGATCTGTCAGAAAGAAATCAAGAAAACAAAACCATTTGCAATTGAATCAAAAATAATAAAATGCCAAGGATAAAACCTAACTGAGGAGGCAGAAGACCTGTACTCTGAAAACTAAAGGAACCAATTGAAGAAGACACAAATAAATGGAAAGCTATCCCTTACTCATGGACAGGAAGAATTAATATTGTCAAGATAGCCATCCTGCCCAAAGCGATTTACAGATTCAGTGCAATCCCTATCAAAATACCAATAGCATTTTTTCAATAAACTAGAGCAAATAATCATATAACTTACATGGAAGAATCTTAGAAGACCCTGAAAAGCCAAAGCAATCTTGAGAAAGAACAAAGCTGGGGTTGTCAGTCCCTGATTTCAAGCAATACTACAAAGCTACCTTGATAAAAGCAGTGTGGTATGGCAACAAGAACAGACATATAGATCAATGGAATGAACAGAGAAACCAAGCATATATATTCAATTAATGCATAACAAAGGAACAGAATATCCAAAAAGTGGAGAACTCTATGCAAGAGAATGAAACTGGATCACTGTCTAAACTATACGTAAAAGAAAAAACAAAACGGCTTATTTTAAAGACCCAAATATAAGACATGAAACCAGAAAACTCTTAGTAGAAAACACAGGCAGGAATCTCCTGAACATCAGAATGAGAAATGTTTTTCTGATGTTTCCCCTAGCAAACGAAACTAAAGGAAAATTAAATAAGTGGCACTATATCAAAATGCTTCTGTACAGCAAAGGAAACCATCAGAATAAAAAAGCAACCTACTGTATGGGAGTATATATCCAGATGACATATCTGTTAAGAGGCTAATATACAAATAACTTAATGAACTTATATGAATGAACATCAAAACAACCAAATAACCCAATAAACAAATGGGCAGAGAACCTGAATAGACAATTTTGTAAAGTACACATATGGAAGGCCAACAGGCACATGAAAACATGCTCCACATCGCTAACCATTAGGGAAATACGAATAAAACCCACAGTGAGACATTATCTCACATCAGTCAGAATAGTCACTGTCCAATAGATAAGAAATAAAGACTGTTGGCTAGGATGTGGAGAAAAGAGAACCTTCCGTTTGTTGGTGGGAATGTAAATGGGTCCAATTGCTACAGAAAGCAGTTTGGAAGTTCCTCCAAAATCTAAAATTAGAAATGCCTAAAGACACAGTAATTCCACTTCTAGGGATTTACCTGAAGAAAACCAAATCCCTAATTTGAAAAGATACATGCGCCCCTATGTCTATTGCCACGTTATCAGTGGCCAAGACAGGGATGCAACCAAAATGTCCACCAGTAGATAATGGATTAAGAAGTGGTACATATACACAGTGGAATATTACTGAGCCATTAAAAGAAGGAATTCTTGCCATTTGCAACTACATGGATGGACCTAGAGGGTTTTATGCTAAGTTAGATCAGCCAGGCAGAAAAACACAAATAACCTATGATTTTACTTACATAGGAAAATATAAATGAATAAAAACAAACGAAGAAAACAGAAAGAGACTTACAGACATGGAGAAGTAATTGGTGGGTACCATGGCAGGGAAGACTGAGGTAGGTGGGTGAAATGGAAGAAGGAGATAAAGAGGCACAAAATCACAATCATATATAAATTAACCATGGGAATGAAAGTACAACACAGAGAATATAGTCAGTAGTTGTGTAACATCTTTCTATGTTGACAGATAGTAACTACATTAGTTGGGTGAGCATTTAATAACATGGTTTATAACTGAATAACTATGTTTTATTTTTGAAACCCATATCGTTTATCAAGCTATATTTCAGTATAAAAGGACAAAGGAAAATGGGCAGGATGGTCATAGGAGTGCAGTGAAGATTAAGTGCAGGGACACAGATGCAAACGTTGGAAGCACACGGGAAGGGAAAGCGAGCGATAACGTGAGAGCCTGGACGTGGCCCTAACACAGCAGGGCAGTGATAGGGAGCTGCTCCCTGCCACCCACCAAGTCCGGCCCCTCTGGGCCTCGGAGAGGGCACCCCACTGCCCTCCTTCACAGAGGGACCCAAAAAAAGACTAAAAGATGCCTCTGCTCTCAGGATTATTTTCACTCTTCACCAGTGAATGTCAGGCTTATGGGAATGAAAAGTGATGGTCCCCAAAAAATAAGGGCAAGGCTTTATTGTAAAGGACAGTTTACCATCCCAGTGCCACCTGCACAGGACTGTGAAGTTCCTTCCCTGAATATATTTTTTTGAATTACCATAGGAGGAACATTTTTGTCTAGATCAATATCTGATCACCTCAACTGCTAGCTTGCAAATGTATTCAGGTCCCACAAACATGGTTTTTTTCCCCTTAATTCACTAAAAATACCACCTAACTACACGTAACACTTACTAAGTTGCACCTGCAACAAAACGGAAAAGCTAGGCATGTACCAAACCTAGGGATCATGCAACCATGAAATGACACATTCCAGTCAAAGGCTTAGTACCCAGGCAGAGCTCATACACATTCCCTGCCACCTGGGGGCACCTGGACTCACATTGCGGGACAAGCCCCGCCTACAGCACACGTCCCATCACAGGACCCACTGTCCCTAACTCTGTCTGCTGACTTTCTCTCTTCCTAAGGAAGCCCGGGGCTCACTGTCCTCAGAACCGCTTCCCGGGCCCAAGTCACCTCACTGCCTCTTGGGGAAGAGCAAGCAAACCCACTCTGCAGGGGGATGGGCCCGACCCAGCCATCACTCTGCTCCCACACCCCAGGGGTCCTCCCAAAGCAGTGTCCCTCCCCTGCCCTGACTCTCACCCTCCTACTGAGCCCTCGCCAACCTGTGCTGCTTTGGGGAAGCGCACCTCTTCACCCAGAATGTGTTACTGGCTCTGAAGTGGGATCACGTGAGTGCTGTGTCCTGCTGGGCCCAGGGAGCCTCACCTGGAGAGGCCGACCAAGGGAGGGGGCAGGACAAATCCTTCCGGGACACTTGGCTCCTCCTGGAGGGAGGGTCGCAAGCGGGGCTTCTCTCTCTAGGAATCACAGCGCTGTTTCCCAGAAGCCCTTATAAAGCAGGTTCTCTGGACTGTGCCAGGCCTCTGCAGCCTCCACGTCCTAGGCTAGCAGGCCCGTCTGCCTTAAACGCCATCACCCCCACACAGCCCAGCCATATCATCCTCCAGCCGAGTGGCGCTGGTCACTGGGGCCAACGGGGGCATTGGCTTGGCCATCGTGCGCAGCCTGTGCCAGGAGTTCTCAGGGGACGTGGTGCTCACGGCGCTGGACGCAGCACAGGGTCATGCGGCCGTGCAGCAGCTGCAGACGGAGGGCCTGAGCCCGCGCTTCCACCTGCTGGACATCTGCAACCCGCAGAGCATCCGGGCCCTGCCGGACTTCCTACTCAAGGAGTATGGGGGACTCGACGTCCTGGTCAACAATGCGGTAATCGCCATTAAGGGTACGGAACGGGCTGGGTGCTGGGAAGGGACACCTTGGTAAGGGTGTCCAGCCAAGGTGGGCTGGGGATTCTCCTGAGCCACTGCAGTGGGACCAGTACATCCTGCGGGATCCAGACGGGTTCCCTAGGGAAAGACGTCACCCTTCAGGTGTCAGGGACATTCAACTCCTCCAAGATATACAAGGCTTTCAGGCAAAGGATCTTTGTATTATCATGAAGCCGACTCTTAGGGCCTCCTCCACGTGTCTGTAGTTTCTGTTAATGGGACTGGGGAGCAGTTTGGTACATTTTTCACTTATTTAAAATAAACAAGAAATTTAAAAGAATGACACACAGAGATCCCATCCTGCACACTTCTCATAGCCTTCTCTAATGGTACCAACTGACACACTTTGTAGCTTTAAAGAGCCATGAAATTGACCTTCACACAATACTATTATCAGAATTCAGACCTTATGTACAACTGACCACATTTCACAGGCAAGAAAATAGTCCATCTTTCTGCAGAATTATCCCACATGGCTACTATTTAGTAACTCCTTTCTCTTGCTCCTGGAAGAACAAATGATCGGACAAGCTTACATTTTCAAGCAGAAATGACAATGAAAACCAACTTTTTGGTACCCAAGATGTCTGCACAGAGCTGCTGCCTCTAGTGAGACCCCTCTAGTGAGTCTGGTGAGCAGACCCCAAGGAGCGTCTCTGGCAGGATCGGGCCCCACTGCCCCTGACCTCGTCCCCAGCCCTGCGCCCTCTCCCCGCTCTGCTACACTGGTCCTCGGGGTGTGTCTCCTCAGGGCCAGGGGCCCCTCTCCCAGGACTACACACTGGTCAGTGGCCATCGGTGATTCTCTCCGTGGCACAACTGCTCTTTCTCTTCTTCAACTCTTCAGTCCAGCTGTCCCGTGGGCCCTTCACTTGCTCCCCGCCCCTCACGCCTGCAGGTCCCTGAGCATGGCTTCCTGCCCTCTGCCCTCCCCAGCTGTCTCTACTGTAATCTTATTCCAGCAAACAGAGCCTTCTCCACCCCAATTTATTAGGCCTTCCAAAACGCTGTCAGCTGCCTAGAACTTATCCAGAGCTCCTGACACTCAATTATCTGTTACTGTCAGTCAATATTGTCCTGACGCACATCCCTCCCCTAGAGTCCTCCTTACATAATACATTTTGAAGTACACTCACCCTTACCCAAACCTTTTGGACTCTGACTCGATCCGCCCCCTCGGATGCTAGAGCTCACCATAACCACCTCCTACTATCATTAACCAGACCCCAGGATTAGCCACCTGAGTTTGTCCCCAGGCCACCTCCCCCAGCTCTACAACAGATGCTCGGATGTCATTTGAGGCACTTGGAACCCTAATAAGGAATCCTAATAATTGGAACTCCTATTGAGGCCGTTCCTTCCTGAGCATTCTCTGTACTCTGCATGCTTACTCCCTCCATAAAGTGCTTTAGGAGCAAAGTCCAGGCCCTCAGCATGGCTTGCAGGTCTCTCTCTCATCTGACCTGCCTTTGTCCCGGCCTGTGTTACTTCTCCTTTACCAGGACTAATATTCCACACAAAGCAAACTATCATGTTACTTAGGAGGTGAACTCTTCCACTTCCTACCTCAAGGTGTGGGATGGGGAAACACCACCCACTCAACACACCAAATAAGACAAGCAGATACTTTGAGAAAGATTAAAGCTCTGGCTTGGAATTGACAATATGCATGTACAGTCTGTTCTGGGTTCTGCCCAGTTCCCCGTACTGTCCTCCGGGAAAGTTCTACTGTACCTTCATGATTTGGCTCAGTCAGGCCTCAAAGTGCAGCTCTTTTGAATGGCACCCTGACTCTGTTATTCACCCCAGCACCTGGGAGCAGGATGGAATTCCTTGTGCCACAACCACACATCCTGTGTGTATTCCTGTTAATATGCATACTAAGGACTTCTGGCTGATTTTTTGCTTGTTTTATTTAACTGACCTGCGGGAGTTGTTGCAGGCTCTGTCCTTGTCACATTTGGAGGACAGATGACACTCCTGACCTGCCAAATCAGCCTTAAATGAAAGGATCAACAGTGCCTCTCTAAAGCGGGAGATAGTGGAAATGGGAACTCATGAAATACTCTGTGCATTAGAGCAAGGTTTTGTAAACTTTTGAAGTAGGAGAGTTCTGCCATCATTTCAGGGGAAAGGCCACCACATTGTTAATGGAATCCTGACTTTATTACCTCACTTTCAGTAAAGAGTCTGGGAGAAATCCCGGCTAGGAAACCAAAAGCAAATACTGCCTCTCCCCCCCACACCAGATAAAAGGGTGTGAAGCAAAGTCCTGAAGTTTTTCAACAGAATCTCTGAGGGCAGTAGAGACTTTCCAGAAGAGGACCGTTCCATCTGGGTTTTGTTGGCAAAAGAGGAAGGGGGTGAGATTGGTGACCTTGATGATCACTGAGGAAGAATGCATGTGGATTTCTTTTTATTATTTCTTTTTTTAAACAAGAGGTATTCTGAAATAACTCACCTCATAAAATATAAGAATCTACAATGTCCAGGTACCCATGACAGAGCTTAACCAATACAGCAATATCCTCCCTGTTCGCATAAACTTGCCGCCATTTTGAATTTGAAGAACAATGTTAGGCAGTTTGTCCTATTTTTCTTAAATTATATTATACATTTATTTTGAAAACAGAAGGGAAAATATGTCTCAGTAATACCTACATTGAAATCCTGACACTCTGGTGCATCAAATATTAGCTTAAAGATGTCTAGGAGGACATAAATGGTCTTCTTAAGGCTACAGTTACCAAGTAATCCTTTGAGGAAGGAATCTGTAATCAAATTTGGTTTGAGAAGGGCTGCTTCTCAACTTCCTGTGGTGTGAAAAATCCACAGGAGGAAGCTGGGGTGAAAATCACATTGCTAAAGGTCTCTTCCACTTCTGACAATTTGTGGTTTAGAAGGATGGGTGGGTGGATATGTCCTGATGCAGAGGGCTGGGTATTTTATATACTGTCCAGAAAAAGACATGGGGTCTCAAGGGATTTCAAGGTCACATGCACAGCCGGATGCAGACGTGGATGTGTGGTCTCCAACCTGATTGCTCTTCCAAGTATTCCAAGGTCCTCAAATCTCTTATGCCAAGAGTCTCATTTGTCAGGTGAAGCCTTACCCAGCCAGGCCAGAGGGTCAGTCCATTGAAGGCCTCAATTTATTTGGGACCACGGTGTTTCCATTTACTTACCCTTTCAATGGAAAACGTGGCTTCCCTAAAATAATTTTATTGATCTGGTAAAATGGATGGCATGCATTAAGTATTAGCACCACCAGAGAAGTGATTCTTTTAAAATTGGTGTCATGCTTTTGCCACCATTAGAGTGACTGTTAAAAGGCAAGTGCCTCATACACACATTCACACACACACACACACACACACACATACACATACACACACTCTCTCTCTCTCTCTCACACACACACACACAAGCAAACACATATAGTATCAAAATGATGCCTGGATGGCCCATAGCGCTTTGTGGAGGATTGGCTCTGCTCAGGCTAGTAGAGTGTCTATGAAATGCCCTGTGGCAGCCATGAGCATACTCCAAAGAAATATCTGGATGCAACTCCTGCTGTGGAACCTCCAGCAAGTGCTTCCAGCTTCTGTGTGTGTTTCCTGTCCTGAGGTGTCAGACCACAAGGGACCACAGTCTCACCCAGCTGTGTGGGGACACCCCCAGAAGGCTCCCCTGTCCCCCTTGGGAGTGTGACCAGTGGGGTGAAAAGCTTGGGGGAAGAGAGACCTGGATGCAGCCCCACATCCAGGAATTTACCACAAAGCCCTGTGGCCTCCCAGTTCAGGCTTCCCCAGTGCACACAGACAAGTGTTTTCACAGCTGGTTTAGACCTCCTGGGATGGATGATACCGAATAGAGAAGAGGTCATCCCTACTTCATACAGTATAAACAGCCCAGAGAGAGTTGCTAGAGTTTCTCCATCTCCTGCCTAGACTAAAGGCATGGGGGAAATTGGTGTGAGTCTGTGATTGCAGCTGCATTCTCCTCTTCCAGTCACCCGCTCCGGCTGACTCTCCTGCTGCTTTATTTTCCTACATCCCCTCTAGTATTTTGCAATTTGAAGTCAAGACACATGTATTATATTTTTATGAGTGGCTAAGCAGTATTTTAGAAAATGACGTATATTCTAGTAGGACCTCTAAGTGGTGGGTTCTACAACATTTGACACATAGATTCAATTAATTCTTACAATTTACATGATCTACGGGAATGGAAGGACACAAATATCAACCTGGTTCTAAATTATTCATCTTAGAAGATTTTTGAAAATAATTAAAGGTTTATGTCATTCACTTTAAGTGTCTCTACAGACTATTTAATGTGGGTCATATTGCCATGAATTATCATTTTTACTTAATTTTTTTGCCCCACAACTCCTTTAGTGGGATTGGAGATCAACATTCTCTGTTGGTGACAGCCTTCCCTGTCTCTATTTGGTGGTATGTTCTCATGACTTTGTTATAATATGTTACAAATTTATTTGAATATGAAAATTATAAACTAATTTTTATAACTGTTCATATAAATTCATTTTTATGAATACCTAGTATATTTTCCAAAATTATTAGTGAGAAACAATTGCTTTACACTTTTAACACCTTTTTGAAATATAATTTTCATACCTTGCACTTCACCCACTTAACTACAACTCACTGATGCTTAATATTCATGCTCAGTTGTGGAAACATCAACACATTCAAGATTACAGCACTGCAGTGCCGCAAAAATAAATCCTGGGCCCTTTAGCCATCCACGATCTTTTCCCACATTCCCTAAGCAGGCACTATTCTGCATTCTGTGTCAAGATATTCTTGGTCTGGACATCCTATGTAAGTAGAATCATATTATACATTCTTGTGACGGCCTCTGTAATTTGGCACGATGTGCTCAAGCCTCATCATGTGGCAGCATGGGGCAGCAGGCCATTCCTTTTTCAAGCATCCCTTGAAATGTCCACGTTTCCACTCCCCCATACCACGACCATATTATCGGGCCCCTAGTCACAACTCACGAGTTCATAAAACTAGACAGAAAAGCATGCCACTCAGCCCACTGAGCTGTGTTCTTTACCCCGGCTGGAGCAGAGCAGCCTCCTTCCAAACCGGGTGCTGTGCATTTACCTTGGAACCGCCATCACTAAACCCATCAGCTCTTTCTTGGTCAGGAGACACCTGTTCACAGAGCACGGACCCTGTGACTGTAAGGTGCACAGGTGGACCCAAGCTGCCTTAGGGGGAACAAAGCTGTCTTCTCATGAATGCAAAGAGCACCTCCTTTCAACCCTTAGCATGTTCATTATACACATTATCATTTTCTTCTGTAACTTGTGGGCACTGCCCTCCCATGAGAACACTTCCTGACATCTTAAAGTGACAATTGTGGCAGGTTTCAAGATGGCATCATGTCCTTAATCAGACAGTCCTCATTAATACTCACAGCAGCTAGTAATGATCTTGCAAAGGACAAAACCCAGACATATTTGGTATTTATCATTCTTATGCACGACTTTCCACTTACTCATATGTGTTGAATTTTAGGCAGAGTGGTGAATCTCTCTAGCACACTGAGCTTGGTTGCCTTTAAAAACTATAGCCCAGAACTGCAGCAGAAGTTTACAAGTGAGACCATCACAGAGGAGGAGCTGGTGGGGCTCATGAAGAAGTTCGTGGAAGTTACAAAGAATGGAGTGCACTTGAAGAAGGGCTGGCCTCCTGTGAAATTTTTCCCTATGCAGTGTCAAAGGTCGGCCTCACAGTCCTGTCCAGAATCCAGGCCCGGAAACTGAGTGAGCAGAGGACAGGGGACAAGATACTCCTGAATTCCTGCTGTCCCGGTTGGGTCAGAACTGACATGGGGGGACCCAAGGCCTTGAAAAGCCCAGAGGAAGGAGCAGAGACCCCCGTGTACTTGGCCCTTTTGCCATCAAATGTTGAAGGCCCTCATGGAGAGTTTATTTTGGAGAATAATGTTGTACAATGGGAACCTTGTGTAGAGCTGCCTGCATGGCTGGAAGTATGTGGTACGCTGTGATTGACGAAAAGGACATGAATACTGTCAAAAATATCCCAGCTCAAAACACAATAAGAATGATGGAGTACACACTGTAAGTGGGATATCAATTCTGTGAAGTCTTTAGTAATTCATCTGTGATAAAAGGGATCAAAAAGTAGAAAGATGATACTAATTAATGAACATCTCACATGAATAAATGGTTCTTCACAAATGTCTGTTTGTGCTGATTATTCACATGCCAACCAGCTCAGGGAGCTAATGACCTAAAGGTTAGGCCAACATAAGGGACAGGATTACTCAGGGGTCAGCAAACAGTGTAGAATGAGCCAGACAGAAATGACATTCAGCTTTGCAGGCTACATGGAACAGGCCTGATGCCTAGGTCACCAACCTTGCGTATTATAACCTGCAGGAAACCAAGGAGAGAATGCATAGGTGTGCTTTCTTTAACACCAAACTGTTTGAGGCAAAAACTGTAGCAAAGTGTAAATTCTGAGGGGGCCTTTGTAAGAAATATACATCCATGAAGGAATCTGAGGTAATTTGGGGAAGTATGAGCATGGACTGGGTCCAACTTTCATAATTATTTTTCATTAGACATATGCAAACTTATTAGAAAGGAAAGTGATGGCCCTTGAAGCAAGGGTAGGGCCCTGATTTTTAAAAGGGATGTTGACCTTGCAAGTTTCAGCCTCAACAGGGCTGTGAATTTCCTTTCCCTAACTTGTTTGTCTAAACTGATATTGGAGTAAAATAAATTTCTATGTTAGGACCTTTGCATCCCCGCCTCTGGTCTGTAAATGTGTTCTGTTATCATAAAAAATCTATTTTTTCTCCATAGCTTAAATATGATAGCTTATTACATGTAGCATTTCTTGACTTTGACATGGAACAGAACCAATAAATTTGATATTTTGCAGATTTAGGGATTATAGAATCACGAAATGAAACCACCAATCATCGGTCTGGCACAGTTAGAGCTCATACATACCCCTCCCACCTGGAGCACACCTGGACTCCCACCAGGGCATGAACCCTGCCCACAGTGAAAGTCTAATCACAGGGCCTATTTTCTCTAACTCTCCTTCTTGGGTTTCTCTTAAGGAAGCACAAAGATCATTTTCGTCCCCAGAAACAGTTAACCTATTCAAGTCACTGCATCTTAGGGAAACCAAATCCATTCTGCAGGGAGATGGGCCCACAGCCAAGCCAATGACTCGCGGTTCCTCTTTCTCCTCTGATCCCCTCCCAAAACACTTTCAGCTGAACTGCCTAGGATCTCCACTGTACACCGAGCCTTCGCTAGCATGTGCTGGTTTGGGGTAGCATGCCTGTCCACCTCTATACCCAGATCATATGAGTGCTGTGCCCAGGTTTGTCCAAGGTGCCTATGTAGAAGTCAGTCAAGAGTTTTTCCATTAGGAACCTTCTGGAACATTCTGACTATAACTCCCAGGAGGAGATATTTTCCTAGTCTGGGGCAATTCACCTTTGAAACCAAAAGCAGTCAAAGGGAGAAATAAAGTGGGAGAAACCCTTCTATTGCTTACAAGCAGCCTTCCACTTCTACTCACCCATGTCTCTCATGACCCAGCTGCAAAAAGGGGTGCCACACAACCTCTCCAGTCCAGATATGCCCTAGTTCTCCTGTAACTACCCATTGTATGGAGATGGACTACTTCTCTCCACCTTTTGGAAACACCTGTTGATGTGGAGATGCCCTGAGGCCGGGCTGGAGACTACAGAAATGTTGTAATTTTACCCACAGCATACCCATCCAGAAATCTTGCCTCACAATCAACTAATTCCCATCTTCCGCAATGGCCCCTGTGTGAGAAAACTGGAGCACTGTAACCAGACTAATAACATACAACATCAACAGCAATAAAATCATGATATTCCTCAAGCTAGAGAATTCACCTAGTTCAAAGTCCTATGCAGATTTAGTCCCTAGCTCACCCATTCCACAGGCAGGCAGTAGCTGAATGCGTAGGGAGTTCAGAGCAATCACCACACAGCAGCTGCAGCCAGGGGGCAGGTACACAACACAGGGAGTTTACAAGAAAATACCCTTAAGGGAGAGAAGGTACATGTTTAATGACACCAGCATAGGTAAATTTTGTCCATCAGGTGCAATGTATGAAGGAGAGTGGTCCTGTGATAGGACAGTGGCAGAAATGGGATCCTGACCTCATCTACTATAACAGACTTTCACCCACCTCCCTGTGGGAGTTACAGATGAGTAATACATAGGGATATGGGTGGTATGTCCACTGCCCATAAAGATGAAATAAAACTACCCTGTAAGATGCTCTTACCACAGTGATCTTTGGGGGCCGCAAGACTGTTACTCCAAGAACACATAGTAGGCCAGCTTCCAGGCCTTTTCCCCAAGGTGACAGAAGGGCCAACCACTGTTGTTACATTTGTCAAAATATCCAAAGCCATGTCCACTCAACACAGTCTCCAGCATTTAATGGTTAATGCACTTGGGGCCAGCAGCAGGATGTTGCTCTTCCGGCCATATCCTGGCTTTAATATCTACTCTTTGTTTGGCACATACAGTTGTGCAGGAGAGGCAGCAATGTGTCTCAGCATGCCACAGAGCTTAAGGCTCCTTTTGGAGCTTCTCATTCAAATGCCATAGCACTGTCCATAAGCGAACTGACCAGCCCTGTAGACTATTTCTGTCTGACTTCAGACCAGACTTCAACAAACCAGTGAACCTCTCTATCACACCTGCTGTGGTAGGATTGTATGGCACATGAAACTTGCACTTTTTTCTAATTGCTGCACCCATTCTCGTCATGCAGTCCAGTAAAGTGGGTGCCTGGATCTCTCTCCATCAACCAAGGGTGACCACAGGCTGCACAGAGACCCTCTAGGACCTTTTCAGTGCTGATCTGCACAATATGCAGGAAAAGCAAACAGTCCAATAGCTGTGTCCACACAACCTATGGCATATTGGGGTGTTTTTGACACAGGCAGTGGCCCAATATAGTCCATTTGTCACCTGACAAGGGGTATCGGCCCTTATAAAGTTGTCACACGTTGCTGCATAACTCAGTGTAAGTCCCTCTTGGAGTGCACAAGGCACTCCTTCCAGGCTCTGCTGACTTCTTCAAAGGGCAATGCCAAGCCCCCCGATGGCCTACAGCCCACATTGTCTTTTGACCCACAGGGAACAAATGCTGATACAACCACTGGGCCACATCGGAGGCAGGCTTTCCTTCTAGCAAAGGCACCTGGGCCAATGTGTCTGGTTCATCATTTCCAGGGATGCGAAAGGCAAATGGCCAGTCACATGACATACAGTAACTGCTTCAGCCTGACCACACACCCATAAATGTTGCCATAACACTTGCCCCTGAAGGGGTCAGTGACCAAGCATCCAGTCAGCATGTTATCATGTCAGTAGAAACAGGGGGAAGACCCAATAGACGGCTCAGTGGTCAGCGCAGAAAACTATAGAGGGGGACTCCTGGGTGGTCAGGAGCCATACTGCCACCAGGTCAGCCGCATGACTGCTTTTCCCCAATATGTCCTCCATCCACATGGTCTCAGTCTTTGGATGAGAAGCCACAGCCCTCCACTTTGGGGCTGACCATGACCATAGCCGTCTCTATACAAAGCAACTTCAGGTACAGGGGCTTTTCCATTCTCAGAAAAACTCTTGGCTACCAATAGCTCAATAACAAGTTCTTCCTGTTTTCAACTGGTATATGTCACTGGCCACAATAAGCGTTAGAGTTCTCCATACAAGGGGCGATAAGACAGGGCACTACACTGCATTAAATATGATGCCCAAATGGCCCATGTATGCATCTGTGCAATGCCACTCCGTGTGCTTTGGGTCCAATCTTGCATGCACACCACGATGGGATAGATGGTTATTACCATGGTCAGAGCTGTTCCAGTGATGGGCTCCACTGCCAGAAAGGCAAGGTACACAAGACCCAGTTGCTTCTCCTTCAAGGTGTGCGGGACCTCTGCTCCTTTTCCTAGTTGTGACCAGAATCCAGGAGGTTGGCATGTCCATTCAAGCTACTACAAAGGCCCCATCCTTAACAGTCTTCAGTTACATGAATATCTAGTACACAGGGCTTTGGTGACTCCATTACACTCAAGGCCTCTATGGCCTTGACTACTCGCTCACCAGCACTAAAAGCAGCTGCACATGTTTCACCCTGGACCCAACTGATGCTCTTTACCACCAACAGGAATAAAGGCTCCAGAATTTGTAGAATGAATACTCTCCAGTGCCCAACAGACCCCAAAATCTGTTGTAATCCTGCCACAGTGGTAGTGGTAGAGAAAGCCTGGAAATATCTATGACTGCTTCTGGGACAACCTTCATTTTACCCAATGAGACAACTGCAAGGTCTACATAGACAAACTGCAAGACCTACATAGACAAACCAGGTCCCTGAACCTTGGTGCAGTTCACAGCCTGTGCTTTCTCCTGTAGATGTTGCAGCAGCCTAGGAACTGCCCATTCTAAATCTGCAAGAGAATCAGATCCTATCCCTTTGGAAAGACTGTGAATGACCCCTGCGAGGCTCCCCACATGAAGGCAAACTGTTCTTGACTTTCCTGCACTATGTCAATAGAGAAGACAGCATTAGCAAGGTCCACAATATGATGATATGTCCCTACTTCATTACTGAGGGTGTCCATAAGGGCTGCTAGAGAGGGGAGAGCAGGTTGCAAAGGAGGTGTGACTTTATTCAGTTCCCTGTAACCCACACTCATGCGCTAACAGCTGTCCGGCTTCTTCACTGGCCACACTGGGGAACTGAAAGGACTATGAGTGGGCTTTATGATGCCCACCTTCTCCAACTCCTATAGAGTACCTCCAATTTCCTTGTGTCCCCAGGTAATTTATGCAGCTTAGCATTTGTCACCCACTGAGGTACAGGCAGATCTACTGGTGGGTGCTGATCATGTCCCCTCAGAACTCAGTTTACTACACATAACCTCAGTCTGAACTCACCTGCAGTGTTCTGTAACCACAGGCCCTGCAGGAAATCAATCCCCAAACAGATTCAGGAATGGAAGAGATGTACACAGGATACTACTTTTGGCATAAAGACTCTATCCCCAATGGGTTTGGGGCTTTCTTTATTCTAATTGCCTTATGCCCATAGCCATCTATCACAGCAGGGTCCCAAGCAAATGCTTAGGGTTGCCAGAAATCACAGAACATTCAGCTCCTCAGTCCAACAACACCAAGACACATTGCTCATTCATAGGTGAACAATAACTTGTTAATTCTACATGGGACCTCCAGTTCCCACCCGATCCCTCAAGGTGTTCATCCCAACCCTCAGGCTAGCCGCAACACCCATTCGTCCCCCTGTGGGGCTGAGGACCAGACAGATCCTGAGTACTGTCCCCACGAAGTCTTGCAGGGGACACAGGCAGGAAATGTGGCTTTGGTTCCGGCTTCCATGTCCTGGACCTGAGCAGCTGGAAGCGCTACTCTGGCTTTAATTCATGCCACAGTTCTAACAAGATCCTATGGGCTACCCATCAAGTTTTTCTTTCACTACCCCATCCTTTATCAAACCAACCAAAATCTGGGTCCTCAAGACCTACACAGGCCCTTTGCACCTCTCCTTTCAGTCGTAACCTGTACTTCCTTTCGTGCTCTTATTGTTTCAACAGCTTCCAGATTTGCTATACTATGAGTAGCCTCACAATGAGTCTCCACTATGTGTGTGGCAAGACAGTCACTAGGGACCCAAGGAGAGATGGGGGAGCTGTACGGAGCGTGAGATTTCTCATGCCTATGGTCAACAACTCCTCACTGGGGCCATGGAGGTCATACTATAGATGATATTATTCATGCCCAGTTCCCGTGACACCTCCTGGAGCTCTGCACATGTTTTCCAGCTAGTGGGTAAGTATGGTAAATCACCCTGATCATGCCAAACTGCCCCGATGGCTGCTGTAAACCAATCCACAAGTGCCTGATTCCCTGAGGTGTCGATGGGCATCTTGCAACTGCTGCTGGAGGGAAGGGAGAATCATCAGGGAAGCCAGTCAACCCATTACAGAACCCAACATAACAATGTTCTCCATTCCTATATCCCAGAGACACAAAAGCCATGTAGGCAGAGATTCCAACAGCTTGAACTGAAACCGGATGCCCGTGTCCACCAGCTCATCCTGCAAAAAGGCACAGGCATTGAATCCTCCACAACATGGGGACAGTGCGGTTCCTACCCCTGAGGTGCCCAAAGTTGTTGCTTCTTTATTTCCTTAATTACAACCAGGCAGCCTTTAATGAGGGAGTGTCTGGTGCCTTGGAGTTGGCCTCAGCGACAGTGTGGCCCTGGGCCCCACCCCCTTACCCTCTCCCAACATCTGCTCTACCATCTCCGGGGCTGAGGACACTGCTCCCCCCTCCCCCACACCCCCTCCCCTCCCACAGGACCTCCTGCAATGCAGATTCTCCTGCTGCCTCCTCCCTCGCTGCTGCTCAGGAATCTTCCAGGGGCGTCACTCTCTTCTCAACAGCTGTCTGTGTCTCATGACGGCATCCTGTAGGCCATTGCCCAGCTCCTCCAGGCAGTGCTTCAGTGTGTCTCCCTCCTGCTAAAGTCTCTCTCTCCCCTCAATAACCCTTCCCACTACCTCGAAAAACAGACATCCCAAACCCCGGATGCTACACAGCCACTCAGGGCCTCGAAGCAGTCTCCTACCTCACAGAGGGCTAGTTAGACAAACTCCAGTGTCTCCACACGTCCCCCAAACTGGGGGGGGGCCCCACTGCCCTAGGAGGTGCTTT